TCGTTAAGCTGAAAAATTTCCTGAATATTACTATAAGTTCGCACGCATCTAATGGCGGCATAATGGGATTAGAAACGGTGGGATAAGTGCTTCTGAATGACAGCCGGATAACAACATGTTGGGATGAAAAGACAGTATCACAGAAGAAAACTGAAACGGACGACTTTTGGCCTAATGGTGATACGACCCATAACTTCGAAATCGCATCACAGGGGGGAAAGAAGAGAAGTGCAGAAGTTTCCCCAGATAAATCGCCATTCTAACAATAATAATAATAGGCGCAGCAGAGAGCGATTCGATTTTGCGAAGAGAATCGGAAGATGGAAGCCTCTGCACCTGCGCCCATGGCACCAGTGAAACTTGCAATGCATAAAGGAATTTAGCTAGTGTTTCGGAGCAAGGATAAAGCAGACAAATGGGCATTGTTTGGGAAAGTGCGCAAGCAGCAGATTTGGATGGGATGGCCGCCGAGCGCTGAGGGTGGACATCAGCAGCTGCTGCTGCTGCGAGCGTCGCAAAAACCACACAGAAATGAGGATGAGAACCTTCGGCGGCGACGGCGGCAGCAGCAGAACGGCTCCTCCAGCTCGTTAAATAATCCGCACTGACTGCTAATGAGCGACTGCGCTTCACGGAGGTGCTGCCGGTGACGTTGCTGGGACTGGGTGTCGTGGGAGCGGTTGTCCTGGACTGCTGCTGCTGCTGGAGCGCCGCCCGTCGACGATCGCTGCTTTTTGTTTCCTTTGGCGGGAGCTCAATCGAGATCGGCGCGTCCAACTGCAATTACATGTCCTCTTAATTCAGCTGCTCTGCAAGTTTGCAGCTTGCGCACCCTCTACACCAGCTCCCGGTGAGGACACAGCACCAGACTAGAGGCGCGAAATCCAGTTGATGAAGCAGGCCGGGAGACAAAAAATTTCAATAATAACAGCGAGCAGGCAAAGAACTGGCCCCAAAGAAGCATTGAAGAAATGCAAAATCCGAGTAAGTGGGCATGAATTTAGTGCCAGTGCGATTTAAAAGATATCACATTTTACGAAAACCAAGAATAGCATGCCATTTGCGCGTGCAGGCAACAGTTTGAATAGCGCGGACGTTAAACTGGCATGCGCCGTCCGTTGTCAATTTGGTCAAAGCTGAACACGCCACTAACTTCTATTACTGCTACTGAAAATTTTGCTGTAGAAGACTAGTCGATAGCAGGATTATCCGGTCAGAGGATGCTTGAGGCAATAAGTTAAGCGAGCTGATGAGTTTTTTACTCTTTCATCGCTACTGTTTTCTTCCCCACTTATCTGCCCTTTTGTTTTCAATTTTCGTTTTAGTGCACCCATCAGTGCCCACAAGTTATTTACCCCCCCAGCAAGTGCACTATGATCGTGGATATAGCGATGCGCTGATGAGGCCTCTCAACAATCCAGTTTTTATTTGAAACTAGAAATCAGAGGTCAATAGCGCTGGTCAAAATACTAAAGCAAGTACCAGTGGCCTACGCAAGAACCAATAACCTCACTGTATTTTTTTTTTTCAGTTTCATTCGGGCGCTTATCCAGTGAAGTCATTTTTTATTTACAAAGGTCACTTCTCTTTTCGGGACATATTTTTGTAAGTAATCACAGCCGCCTCTTTCGTCACATTTCTTTTCGCAACTTATTTGTGGTAAATCGTATTCCACGTTCTTACTATGGTTGTTACCTATTACTTTCGGTAATGCTATTGATATTTCTGCTCCCATTACAACAGGTGCATCTGCCCACCACATGCCGATGCTCTGCCGGCCCGTGTACACACTTTCTCGTATAATTCCTTTCCCTCTGTTAGCTACCGGTCTTCGATCCTGCCCGGATATTAGTATGAAATGAAATTAGTCCAAAAACCAGGGAAAAATTCACGGAAAAAGACAAATACGTCTTAATGGTCGGTCAGGTTATATGTACTTTACCAGTTACTGGGAGGGAACAACGGTCTTCAGAAGCAGTCTTGGACCGTAGGGCTATCCAACATTCGCCGAGGCCAGAAGTGAAACTAACCGAAAGTGCATGTTCGGTGCAGTTTCGAGTGTGAAGAAAACAGCAGCTTGTTGACATTCCATTAATCTAAGCAGTCATCAACCCAAATTACCGTCCAGCAGAGAGCTCCAGTTTAACAAACTGATCCTTGTACTTCTAGGATTTATTTCCTCCTTCTGCTGCTTTGATGTCCTGTCCGTTGTTAAAGAATAAACTTTAAGTTACGGGCATTTCGAACTAGTCAAACTCATTTTAAGAAATAGTTTGAGTTTAAAAACAGAACATCCAGACTGTTCGCTATGCCTGTCATAATGTAAACCGATAAACCACGGACTGGCGAATTAACGACCAAATTCACTTTTCATTTCAAAAAAAAAAACGATATGCTCGTGAAAAAATGAGTAATAACCTGAGGATCGGGTACTGGAATATCACCTTCCTTTTTCTCACCTCCCTCGAAATGAGCCGAACAGATGCGTAGCTGAAATTGAATTATGGATATCAGTTTTGAACGCGTTGTTTATCCACCAACCAACACACTTATTTTCATAAGCAAATAAAATGCTTTAGATTTCCAAGCAATCAAAAAATACTTAAATTACCGAAGAGAATTCAGAAACTGCACTGCGATGTTGAATGTATATGGAAAGCCGATAGTTACTTCCAGGAGACTAAGGTAGCTAGACGAGGATGAAAAGGGCGCATAA